TTGTCAATCGTTCATACGGGAAATAGCGATAGGTACACTCATTTCAGGGATTGTCCTATCAATAGAATTTTGAATGGGATTGTTATGCAGCATTGCACATTTATTGATTACGATTTACCTGCACAAAGACTAGGAAGTAGGTAGGTACATATTAACACGCTTTTTAGAACATCTATTTAACAGGAAAGTGAAGCAGGAATTATTAAATTGATGTTTTGTTATTATGATGCAAGTATCATAATTCATAATATTTTCTTTTATATCTGTAATGGGCACATCACGTACAAGTCGAGGTACAAGTATACCATACGCCCCTTAACAAGTGAAATTGCACATTTGTGATTCCAATTTACACCAAAAAAATTATACCTACTGATATTGAGGAAGATATCTTGCATTGGGTCAACACCCAAGCCCAACTTTAACCAGCTCAACCAAATCATTCAGTTGTGTTGTCACTTTCTTGTCATAGGTAGGTTTTTTAAGAGTGATGATTTACTCCTTTTTTAACTGAATTGTTGAATTCGGTATCGATAGATATTTGCAAGTCGCAATTTACCAGCACAAATGAATGTTTGATAAAATTCCAAGGATACGGCGAACAAAATCACTGTTTCATTTTTAAATTTTAACTTTCTTGAAAATGCAAAATCAAGAATTATACGTGTCTTTATAACACTTCACGAATTCCAAGTTAAATAGAGACGAAAATGATAGGACGAGAAACTATCAACAAACGTATCATCAAAAAGATGAGAATGTATATAGCCGAAAGGCATGTTATTGTACTTACCTCAATATGAATGGTTCATCTTTTCTCTTAGCTCCAATTTTTACGAGAATTTTTACGTAAAATGAAGAATTGAAATGTGCTGTCGTTGCGTTTTGTCCGTCCAGGTCCATCCGTCCGAGCGGTTCTAATCTACTTTTAGGGAATTCCCATAGAGTCCTGGAATGTTTGCCATAAGGTAGCGAGATAGCCTATACGCCTTGAAGGTGTGTCCGATGCCCATAAAATTTTGTTGTCTAAAGAGCGAGAGGGTGCGAATTAAAACAAATTAATTTCTACCAACCACACTCCTCCTCGACCACATATCGGTTATAATCCTCAAAGGAGGATTGCTGGAGGAGGATACTCTCAAAGGGCTATTCGGACGCCGGGAAAAAATATTTTATGGTGACGTCAAACCTTTAAAACCGAATATCTCGAAACAAAGGAATAATGAATCGCCTGGACGAGACATATTGCTGTGTAAACAATATCAATGTTTCAAATTATTCTGTTGGGTTCTTTATGTGTAAACACAAAGTGAGTATTGCGTTTCTAGTTGTATCCAAGTGGTTTGTTTTTTCTTGTGAAATATTATTTCCTAGAATTGTTACATGTAGGACAATTTATTGGTTATTGTTATGAATTTTGCTTTGTCAAAACATATAAGTGGCAGTTCAGTTTGCATTTATGGGCGATTTGATTACTTTTGTTAAAAGGTTGATATAATGTATTAGCGACAAGAATGCGTTTTAATGGGCCAAAACTGACTGATTTCCCTAGAAAAATGTTTTGAGAATGCCTCGTAAAAATGATACGTGACGCTAAGGAGGGATAAGGAACGTAGGCGGGATTGACTGTTGTTGTTGCTACGTGTCCGCTAATTGGATGAAGATTTTTGCAATTGTGTAAGAAGGGGGCCTTTTTTTCAATTTCGAGGCCTGGGTGTTGTTCGTTGAAAGCTTAGAAGACGCGCGTCTTGCGTTAAGTTTCGTGTTGTTTGTCAAGTAAAGTAAAGTTCATAACGGTTTAGTGAGGAAGTCAGCCGTGTTCGAGTGAAGGTTTTGAGAAGACGTGAAATTTGGGGGAAATAGTTTCATTGAAGTTATTCGTCGATTGTTTCGAACAGCCATCGTTTCCAGGGCGGACTGGCCCGTAGGTCATAATGACCCGTTGGAAATTTATAAGTATGTGCTGTATTTAGTTTCTTGCACTATTAATAAATTATTAACACGTTTCTCTCATTGGGGTTGATGTTAGGTTGTTCATTACAAAATTCTGTTTTTATTTAATTAATGAATTTATTATTTTTATTTTTATTTATTATTTTTTGTCGTATTTTGAAAGTGCTGAAACACAATTATAGGCGACGCGCCTCGTTTGGATTACCTTGTATTTGTTGTTACTTTTAATTATCAGCTGCAACTGCAAAAACTATATTCTAATTGATTTCGAGAAGGGAATACTTTAAAATGAAGCAAAAAATGTTTTTGTTGTGCACCGCAGAGCTCCCCCCCTCCCCCCCATCTTCATTACAGTAATACTTTAATGACCCGTAACCTATGCAATTCCACCTGGCCCGTAAGTACCCAGTCCGCCCCTGATCGTTTCATCGCTTTTGTGTTGGTTAGCCAATCAAATGTAATGCAGAAAAAATACGTTCCTTGGATCTCGAAGAGGAGAGACAAAAAGTGTAGTTCGCCAAGATTGTGAGTGCGTTAGTTCTTTATCGCAATTAGCGGTTGTTGCCCGGATTTTTGGAATTTAAACAGAAAAGTGTAAGTAGTGTAACATTGCATTAATTTGTTTAATTGTTGTCGGACCCTTATACGGGGTGTGTAAAATGGACTTTGGTATAGTCCATTTTGTTTGCTAGAATGTTGTGATTAATTTGATCTGTGTTTTTAGTTTTTAGTATAATTTTTGTCTGTGTTAATTCATGTAAATCGTGTGTTTATTCGAACCCTTTAACGATCCAGACGTCTGATGCATAATTATGATTAATTTTGTTGATCCGTACCCAAAGTTTATTTCAGATGTCTTCAAAATTTGTTTGAGTAATCATTTTGGAATTTAAGGAATTTGGTCGTGGTCATTATTTGCCGTAGAATTTTGAACTGGAAGTCGAGATTGAAATTTTTCCTTGTGCTGGGATTCTCCTGGGTAAATGTTAATAAGCGAGCTAGCTATGTTTAAGGTGTTTTGTGTATAGTTCATTTTGTCAGGGCAATCGCACACACCATTATTATTTGCTCGCCCAACGTGAGGCATTGCATTTATTTTTTATGAGGTCCAATGTTAAAAGGTCGCAATATCCATTGGTGAAGTCGAAGCGAATATCTTGAAAACAAAGTGCCGAAAGAGGGTACTCATAAAGGCCAAATGGAACGTCTGGACAAAACACATCTACTGGCGATATCAAAACTTTTAGTGCAAAGATCTACAGATCGGAATGTCCGAGGAGGGTACTCACAAAGAGCGGAAAGATCACTGGCAATTGGAAAACTTAATTGTGAATATGAAAAATGTAGAGTACCTAGAAAGAGAAAAACAACATTTCGGAGAATTTCTCTTAGGGCTTGATTCTTCTTGCATTATACAGTGCGTTTGGGATAAGAGGGTCACCTCAATATCTCTTTTATTTGGCGAGGTACGAAACATTTTTTTAAATATAATTTTATATGTGACATTATGATCTATCTGATCACATATTCAAACTTTTTAACGGACCGGAAATCGATGTAACCTTTGTTTTTCAAATGCAATGCCTATGTTTTTTTACGATATTTGAATAGAGCATTCAATTTTCTGTACGACAACATACAATGTGCATACCTATGGTTGATATATAAAAAATGGAGAAATTCGTGATTCAATCTTTAAAAAATGTATGAAATCTAGCATAAAATTCGGACTTGGAGGACGGAATAAAATGTAGTTCAGAACAGATAACAGTACTATTTCCATGAAAAAGACGGAAGCCAAGCTTGCAATTTTTGACGTCTTAAGTTCAGAATTTTCGTAAGTTTGATAAATATTTATGTTTTCTGATATAAAATAAAGTTTTGTATGATGCCCGACGATAAAAGGAAACTAACCATCTCAAAGACATCCTTTTATCGTCTTGTATAATACATAACTCTGTATTAGGTTCTTGATGTAAACTGAAAACGTTTTTAATTGTGAAAATCAATTGCCTAGTTTATGTTAAAATTGAAGGCCAATCCCGAGGTACAATTCCACCAAATTTAACGAGTTGAAGTCTGGGGGGGAAATGCTTGTTTCGGTCCCCTCTGCCACCTAATTTTATCAGTAGGTAGATCTACTGAAGTACTACACCTTCTATACATTTGTTACTGAGACGGGACAAATCCGCAGAAGGTGAAATTTCCGCAAGGGAGAAAATGCAGGGGGTTAGTCTTCCAAGTACAAATTTGGAGAGCAAATGTTCCGGAGACGGAGGGAGAGAATATTCGAGGACGAATGTTCCTGGAGGGAATTTATTTTACAAGAGACTCTTGTAGGCATAAATCTTCGGATGCTGATTTTGTTATAAAAGTAGAAGGGAGCACTAAGACTAAATAGACAGTTTCTTAGGGATCCAGCTTCTAAATGTAAATGTGGCAAGTTCCTGGTACATGTATGGGGCGGATGCAAATTTACCTGACGAATGTTCGGTAAATTTGTACCCTCTGCCCTGGAAAAATTCTTCTCCGCAGGACTACTTTCCCACCAAGAATGAACGAGGGAATGAATTTACCGGATCAAATTTTCATCGTATCACTCATTTCCGCGATTTTGCTATTTCCTCATACCTCCCGTATTACCTCTCTATAATATTAAGGGTATGTTTCGTCGTTTCCCATCGAAATTGGCGTCCAATGTCGTTTTTAATTAAATTTTAACTATAGATCGAATTTGTCGGACCTAAACAGAATGTTGAACTAAATCTCTGAAGATTCTGTAATCGAACTTGAATGTAAACAGCTGCTTGATGGAGAAATGTCGATAGGTAAAGATTTCATTTTAATTTTGAAACATAATCAACGAGTTGGAGATCAGGAATT